AAAGTTGCGAAAACAAGGTCAAACAATTACTATTCATATTTTGGGATTGTCGTCGAAGCAAGCTTATATTTGGCATAGGCATTGACTATATTGCTTAGATTCAGTTTATAAGTAAGTGACTTCACCTCATTCATCAGAATTACTGGTAGTCTCTAAACCTACTTATACATTGAAATGAAATTTGTAGATATTATATTTAATCATTTCCCTTATTCGCATGCATTTTGCCGCAGACGAACTTCGTTGTGGACCATACCGCCAGCTTTGGAACCCGCAATTTATGATGAGCGGCAAGGAGGACGCCGCTAGCAACTACGCCCGTGGACATTACACTGTGGGCAAACAGTACCTGGAAGGTCTGGTAAATTCTATTCGAAAGTGTGTCGAGAGTACCGACAATCTGGCCGCCTTCAAGGTGATCCACTCTCTTTCTGGTGGCACAGGCTCTGGTATGACTGCTTTGCTGCTACAGCATCTCTCTGAACAATACGGCAAAAAGTTTAAGTTCTGCACGTCTGTATTTCCGTCTCCTGTCTATTCTCAGTCTACAGTTGATCCTTACAACACAATTCTGCACACTCACGCCTCCATTGAGAGTGTGGACTGTGGCATTCTGATTGACAATCAGACAATGTTTGAGAGATGCGTGAAAAATTTGAGCGTTCCACGACCCTCATTCTCCGACATCAACCGAATGTTGGCCATGATGCTGAGCACTGTGATCCTATCGCATCGTTTCCAGTATCAAGGCTCCCAACAAGCCGACATTACCTCACTTCTCACCAACCTCGTCCCTTATCCTCGCATACATTTTCCCATCCTTTTCTACGCTCCACTCTGCAGCAATTCAAGTGCTCCATGTGAGACAATGTCTGTCATGGAGCTCACCAAGGCGGTCTTCACGCCTGAGGCTCAGACCATTGCTTGTCCCTCACAGACCTCAGCTTTCATTTCATGCGCTATGCTCTATCGCGGCGTGAATGGTCCCCGACAGATCTATGATGCCCTACACTTCATTAAAACACCCTCGATGCTACGCTCAAATGTGACCAGTTTTGTTGACTGGTGTCCGAGCAGTTTTAAGATTGGCATCAACGTCTGCCCACCAATGACCATTCCAAATGGCAATATTCCCCAGACCCTACGGTCTGTCTGCATGCTGGCTGGCAATCTGGGCCTCAAGAAGGCCTGGGAGCGCAACAGCACCAAATTTGATGCTCTCTATCGTCGGCGAAGCTTTGTCCATTGGTTTATTGGTGAAGGACTCGAAGAGGGCGAATTCACCGAGGCGCGTGAAGACATTGCCGCCTTGGAGCAGGACTACAAAGAGTTGATGATTGAAGTGGATCCCAATTCCGACTCGCAACAGCCCATCGACAATTATCAAATGCAACCGCCTCAGCATGAATACGAGTACACGCATCAACAGAATATGCCTCCTCTCGAAATGGCCGAACCCGGCGCCTTTTCCTCCACCGCCAATTCAAACAACCCCACCTCGAGAATAGCTACTCGTAGAAGCACACGATCTGGACAAGTGACAACAGCACAGCCTCTTCGTAATACAGTAACGAATCGTCGACGTGTCGACAATCGTCGTCAGCTGCGTGGACCTGATGAGATTGATCAAACAACCAAAGCCCTACGTCAACAACAGCAAATGCCACAACAATTGCCACAACAACTACCACCACAACAACAACAATTACTACTACTACAACAACAGCAGCAACAACAACAGTTGCTTGCGTCAAATTTCACGGGTGTATCGAGGGGTCAAGCGGCGGCCGTGGGCAAGCGCCGTGCGGGCGGAATGCAGGAATCGATCCCCATGTTCGACAACGGTGATAGTTACCGAGCCAGTCGGGGTCAACAGACCTTGGTGCCATCAGAGGGTATATTGCAGCCACCTCACATCGAGGCGTATGCTGTGTCGAGAAGTCGAGAGCGAGAAAGGAATCGAAACAATGCACGACTCTCACAGACTACCACAGAAACCAACTTTCAGATGACCAATCCGATTGTGACAAATGCAGACAAGACTGAGAACAACCTGACGCGAGTATTCGACGACGGTGACTCGTCGATTGGTGACGCCACTGAAGTGAGCGCCTACCATCAACAGAACACATCGGATGGAAATCGAGCTTCAGCCCTCTCCAACTTCTCCTCCATGACGCAGGACAGTTTGGACAAATTGCAAGTGGACAAAAAAAGCATCACCTCAGGACAAGTCACGCCTCATTCCATCTCCTCATCGGCGCTCAACTCCCAAATGGCTTATGCGTCTGTACTAGGGATTCGTGAAAATGCCAACACGCAGAATCAAATGCTCATTTCAGACGGTACCAGTTTGATTCCACGAAAAATTGACTGTATCTATGACGAGAGTTCAGGGCTACCGGTTGTCCGACCAGTCGGTGTACGCAATCAACTCGCCTGCAACCTGTCCAACCATCGTAACCGGCGTCGACGTGGCACCATTGAACTGGAACGTGACATTAACATTCCCAATAACGTCTCTAGACCTCAGGTAGTCTGTACAAAGCCGGCTCCGGTCAACTCATCCGATGAAGGCGGAACTTCGCCCATCTCATCGGCTAGTTCATTGACGACCGGTCAGCGATTGATAAATCATGCCAATCGACCTGAGTTGGCCGGACTTGTTCAGCCTGTAGACAGTCCGGATGTCACTTCACCTCAATTCTTTAGTTCACAACATGAACCCGACTCATACACAAGACATCCCAACATACATTCATCGAATGATGATCCCACCTGTTCAGTGGCCGAAGAGGCACCTCTCTATTGTCAATACAACTCCTCAAATCCAGGCACAAGTACAGCTGCCAGCTCCGTCGGAACCCTACCACGTCAGGGTCAATCATTGATCGATTCTGGTACTGACTATCTCCATGAGACGTTGTCACCTCGAGAACCCAGACTGCCTGGACCCGGTAAACTCGAGGCTTTTAACCGGCCGAGTCAACGCGGTTTCACAGATGCCCAACCAGCTGTCAGGCATCAACACTACTGTCGACACCGACACAAGCACTCTCAACACCAACAACAATATCAAAGTATACATCAACATCAGCATCAACCACATAATCGACCATTTTTCCGTGATGAAGAGCACGTCTCCTCTCGTCCCCTTGCCCAGCTGACTGACAGGACGGTGCATGGGGCAGAGACAATAAGCAGTTCTGAGGACTGTTGTACCACGACAAGCACCATGTATCCGGCAAATCTGAAAAATGAGGCTTTAGACGAGGCCAGAACTGATGAACAGTTGTGCTATGCAACCGTGAACGGTGGTGCTATGACTGGTGAGCCTGCTCGACATCTGAGGCC